TTTTCTTTCAAAATAGTATATATATATTTTTTTTGCCCTTAATTGTAAAGTTTTTCTTGATCCCTTCTTAGGCGAAAATATGTGTAAAGCACGAGAGTTTTATTGCTTAGAAAGCATGTTTGGCTAATTAAGCTTAAAAACATGCAAGTAAATAAGTAAAATACTAAAATAATTATTCAATTAGTGAAAGTTGTGAAACAAAAAATGCTGATACTTTTTTAGGTTAAGCCAAAAATCCATTACTTGTTACCTCGTAGAGAAGTGTACCTAATTCACCTAGTGACTTATCAACTACGGTGTCTGGCTATCACCAATAGACTCTTTCGGGTAGGGGTGGATAGGGTTGGGTCGATTTTTACCTTAACCAAAACTCAACCCAATATGATCGGTTTGATCATAATTTAACCCAACCCGTATAAAGGTTGAAACCAAACTCAATCAAGTATTGGTCGAGTTGGGTTGGATTGAGACAACTTGTCAACAAATACTAAAGTATGCTGTTCGGGTTGAACAGATTTATAATTGACTCATGACTAATATAATTTTGATCTCCATAGTTGCAATGAACAAAAAAATTTGAATTATTTTGGCTTTTAATGCTCGAAAATGTTACATGGACAGATTAATATTAAATTATATGAAGTCAAGAAATATTTTTTGCAATTAAAATATTTTTGTATTGAATATGTATTTGCTTATACTGTTTTTCGTAAAATGCATTCTATCCAAATCTTATAATATTATTCTAAGAGTTTTCAAGCGATATCATAACACTTGTAAAGTTCATAAATCGGGTTGGGTTGAGCGGATTTATTCGATTTTTATGAGTTAACCCATAACCCGACCCGACCCGCCTATACAACCAACCTACCAAACCCGTGTAAAAACAACAAAAAAAATCAACACAAATCGGTCGGGTTGGTTCGATTTGGACGGTTTTGACGGATTCGGTCGGGTTTTGCCCACCCCTACTTTCAGGTGTGGATTATCTGATTCTTAGCAGGCAAAAATAGATATGCATCTTTCATTGTGTTCATCATTTTACATCTTATTAGAGCGAGATTTAATTTCAATAATTAACACTTCTTTTCACAAAGTTGTCACAAATTGGTGTTGAACTATTCCATGGGTGATGTTACATGTACATAATGCGGTGTCCATAACAGTGTCCACCCCCTCACATGAAGATGACCCACTTCGAATATAATATATTTTATTTGAAGTGAGTCCCCCTCCATGTGAGAGTGTGGACACCGTATTATGTACAAGTAGCATATTCTGAGTGGTTATATTGAGGCCACAATTTTTATTTGTTATACCACATTTTGATTACTGTTAAATCTCCCCAATCTTTGTTCATCGTATCAATTATTTTCTTAAATTTTTTTCGTCGAATTATTATTTTCAACTTTTCATTAATTCGTATGTATTGTCATTTACGATGATTTATCTACATATTTTATTTTTATGCTTTGAAATGAAGAGAAAATATTTTTTTCGTAAACGAATAGAAAATTTAAACATTTTCCAGGTGAAAAATTATACCAATCAAACACACTTGAAATCATTTTCCCTACAAAACATTTTCTAGGCAAATTTTTCCCTATAAAACATTTTCTTTCCGCTCATTTTCTACCCTTACAATCAAACGCACCCTCAATGTTTCTTAGTGAATGCAATTGCACAGGGTGGAGATATACATTAGGAGATTTTTAAAGAGAATAATAATTTATAAAATTGAGACTCTCGTGCATTAATCGATAAAGATCAATTTTCTTTCAAAATAGTATATATATATATTTTTTTTTGCCCTTAATTGTAAAGTTTTTCTTGATCCCTTCTTAGGCGAAAATATGTGTAAAGCACGAGAGTTTTATTGCTTAGAAAGCATGTTTGGCTAATTAAGCTTAAAAACATGCGAGTAAATAAGTAAAATACTAAAATAATTATTCAATTAGTGAAACAAAAAATGCTGATACTTTTTTAGGTTAAGCCAAAAATCCATTACTTGTTACCTCGTAGAGAAGTGTACCTAATTCACCTAGCGACTTATCAACTATGGTGTCTGGCTATCACCAATAGACTCTTTCGGGTAGGGGTGGACAGGGTTGGGTCGATTTTTACCTTAACCAAAACCCAACCCAACATGATCGGTTTGATCATAATTTAACACAACCCGTATAAAGGTTGAAACCAAACCCAATCAAGTATTGGTCGAGTTGGGTTGGATTGAGACAACTTGTCAACAAATACTAAAGTATGCGGTTCGGGTTGAACATATTTATAATTGACTCATGACTAATATAATTTTGATCTCCATAGTTGCAATGAACAAAAAAATTTGAATTATTTTGGCTTTTAATGCTCGAAAATGTTACATGGACAGATTAATATTAAATTATATGAAGTCAAGAAATATTTTTTGCAATTAAAATATTTTTGTATTGAATATGTATTTGCTTATACTGTTTTTCGTAAAATGCATTCTATCCAAATCTTATAATATTATTCTAAGAGTTTTCAAGCGATATCATAACACTTGTAAAGTTCATAAATATAGTCGGGTTGGGTTGAGCGGATTTATTCGATTTTTATGAGTTAACACATAACCCGACCCGACCCGACCCGACCCAATCCGACCCGCCTAGCCTATACAACCAACCTACCAAACCCGTGTAAAAACAACAAAAAAATCAACACAAATCGGTCCGGTTGGTTCGATTTGGACGGTTTTGACGGATTCGGTCGGGTTTTGCCCACGCCTACTTTCAGGTGTGGATTATCTAATTATTAGCAGGCAAAAATAGATATGCATCTTTCATTGTGTTCATCATTTTACATCTTATTAGAGCGAGATTTAATTTCAATAATTAACACTTCTTTCACAAAGTTGTCACAAATTGGTGTTGAACTATTCCATGGGTGATGCTACACGTACATAATGTGGTGTCCATAACAGTGTCCACCCCCTCACATGAAGATGACCCACTTCGAATATAATATATTTTATTTGAAGTGGATCCCCCTCCATGTGAGAGTGTGGACACCGTATTATGTACAAGTAGCATATTCCGAGTGGTTATATTGAGGCCACAATTTTTATTTGTTATACCACATTTTCATTACTGTTAATCTCCCCAATCTTTGTTCATCGTATCAATTATTTTTTGAAATTTTTTTTCGTCGAATTATTATTTTCAACTTTTCATTAATTCGTATGTGTTGTCATTTACGATGATTTATCTACATATTTTATTTTTATGCTTTGCAATGAAGAGAAAATATTTTTTTCGTTTTTTATTTATTAAAAATATGATGAAAATATGTTGTTTTACGTCATTTCAACGGACTTTTGGACATAAAATTGTTATTAAACACAAAATACGTTAATTAATAGAAAGTTTGAGGATAAGAATGATATGAAAAATCGTTAGAGACATAAGTGCTGCAATAAGCAAAGATTAAGAATTTTAAGTGCAATTAAATGTGGTGTAAGAAATAAAAATTTTGGTACGAATATAATTTGATATATCTTTCTTGTTCTCAATTTTTATAATGGATAATGTGCAAAGACGAGTTAGGTATGCGTAAAACACGCTTAAAAGATTAATATATAAGTAAATTATAAGTTTATAACTTGATGACTTGATCATAATTTGCATTCTCTTAATTAAATAAGCACTTTTTTCTTATGTTTTATTACTAGAGAGCGCGTTTTTCTCAGACCTTAATTAACAAGTGAAAACACTAGAACTTTGTTAATCATACATTAATTGCTCACCAATGGAATTAACATAGAATAGAAATAATTGTGTTCATTTTATTAATTAACCAGCTAATTTCCCTTGCTAACCAACCATTTGACGATCGTTTATGATATATTTAGCCCTTGTTTGTTGCACATTTTAAGTCTAAAAATGCATTTTTTTTTTGTTTGATGTGATGGGGAATATATGGTTAAAAATGAAGAAAAAGTTATTGATGTGATGAAAAATATTATTTTATTGAAGAATGTGTGGTTGAAAATGAGTAAAAGAACGAGAATGAAAAAACTGATGTTGCTCAAACAAGGGCTTAGTATGTTAAATTAAGAACTGCTAATTAAATTTTTTTTAAAAATCAAAATTTTGTTGATGGCGTGTACAATTTTTTTGTTTTACTCAAGGGCCCACTAATCCTGATGAGTGACGGCATTCTCCCTAGTTCGCCACCCTGATTAATTCGAATGCGATCACAGCACACATGGATCGGACATTCAACGGTTATCCTCCCTGAGACAATGGCATGTACAATTTACTTATATTAAGAGTTGTTTTAAGCCGCTAAGACCCGTGTAAAAATAAATTGACACGACTTTAAAACAACATTGTAAGCGACTCCAAAATGAAAACTTTTCTTAATCTTTATTTATTTGAGTTTAATTATACTCATTATTTTACTGTTAAATTCATCATATAAATTATATTATCCATACAAATATTTTCCCATAAAATACATGAGTTGTGCGTGATTAAGGCTTATTAAAATATGATTTCTAGTTGACATAATTTAACATAAAAGCAAAACTCCACCAATCTCAAGAAATAAAGGTTTTAAGTTCAAATCTTATAAATTCTACGCCATTAATTGTGTTTACATCTTTTTAATATAATTGTAACAGGACAGTAAACTTTAATTTTGCGCTATCTGATCTTATTGAAGTTTAAAAAAAAAAAATGAAATCGACAGAACATGAATAGCCGAAAAATAAGGAAATCCTTCTAAAAATTGATATTCCAGTTCACATTCAAACGAAAGCAAGCCAAAAATACAGAAGAAGAACAAGAGGCAGAATTTAATGGACAAGAAAGTACATATTCAAAATTTTCTACAACCAAAAAAAGCTTTATCAAGACTTCAAGTGTTCCGCATAAAAATGCTATTTTTCTCCACAAAAGATATCTTAATATCAAACATTACAGTGCCATCTCTGAAACCATTGCTATACCTTTCAAGGTTGATCACTGCTTCTCATCATCGGGCAACTCATCAGACAGTCCTTGTTGAGCTAGTCGGTAATACAATATACCCATTGTTGCCATGCAGGCCCTGCAAAAGAGTGGAGGTGTAAATGCATTGAGCTAAATGTGAACACTCCAAAAGAGAGAGAAACAACAATCAGCCAAGGGTGGAAAGAAAGCAACATACATTATAGCTATAATTAGGAGGAGTTTCCTTGGATCCATCCTTGAAGACCTATGTTGCTTCAGACGCCCTTCTGGGATATCATCTGCATTTGATGCATCTTTCCGTGGAGGTGCAGTTACTGGTAGAGTCGGCAATGCACTTGACCAGAAAGGCAGCAATGACCTGAGTAACTTGTGGCGAATTGTACCTGTAACTCACAGTCCAGTAAGCTAGATACACAAAAGGTCGGGACAGAAAAATCATAAAGTAGCATATGTATTATAAAGGCAATCATGGCACAATTTCTAGCATGAAGAATATGAAACCCAACTTGGTATTCCCCAGTGGCTGGACATGGACAAAGTATTTTATAGTAAATGCTATATGCCTTTGGACCTATATGCTTATTTCACACCCAACAAACAATTCAGACATGGGGGCATAAAGAGGATATTAGAAGTGATACTTCCCTAATGATTGCCGTCTCTGGAAGTGGGTACTATGCTTCTATACCCCTTCGGTACATCAGATTTGGCAGGATGGGGTCTCATAAATTTGGGAAATAGGGTTGAAGGCCGGAAACTTCCTGAATCCAAAATCGCAAAATAAGTGGAGAAGGTGATGAGGCCGATGTACCACATTTATACATATTTCAGGGTGTGAAGTAAGCCTCCATATCAATGGGAATTTTAGCCTTTATTATAAAATATCTTGACTCCATAAAAAATTTGGCATAGGATTATGCCCAATTCATAGGGTTCAAAACACTGGTGGTCACCGAATTTATCGAAGCTTCATGTTGTCACTGGACTTTATTTTGTTCCAAATTAGCAACTCAACATTAGTCACATGTTGGTCGCATAACTTAAATATTTGTCTCGCGTTGAACACACTGTCCATGTCCGTTAATTGGATTAATGGAAAAGCTAACATGACGGCCTTGTTGGCAAATTACCCGTGTAACGACCCATGCCTCGTGCTTAAGCCGTTAAATCATATGTACTATCCGCTTTGGGAGAGTCTAGTCCATCTTACCCCTCACGAATTTTTATCACGTCCCTAGGATTCGAATCTAAAACTTCTACCTTTTAAGAGACTTAAGTTGAATCCTAGTGCTAATTGGACGGGACGCGATAGAAATCCGTTATGAGTAAGATGAGCTCAAGCTCTCCTATAGCGGATAACACGTAAGTTAATGGCTTGGGCATAGTGGTTGGGTACTTGGGTCGTTACAATCAGACTGCAGCCTGACTTCTCAGTTAGTCAAAGGAATGAACATGGACGTACTGACCAACTAGAAACAAAAATTCAGTTCAGTGATGAGTCTAGAATAGAAATGTTGAGTGGTCAACATGAAATTTCACAAAAAATAAGTGACTAATCACCTCCAAAAACACATCAGCAAATTGTCGTAGAAAATATGTAGTTCCATGTTACACTTAGCCAGCAAACAGTGTGTGCAACGTACAGACTTTGACCATCACAGTATGCAGTTGCTTTTCTTCACTTGCAATAATGGTACTGAGGGAAAACTGGAAGAACACACACACATACACACACAAAACAATAAAAATAAAAATAGAAATAGAAAAATAAAAATTGAGTGATCTTCACTTCACTCACCTCTTCGTGAGTACTTTTTCTGGTTCCCATCTTCATCATCAGCATAATATGAAACTTCAGAGCTTTGCCTATCAAACTGGAGCCCACTCTTACGTGTCGTTGCACCAGGCTGTTGGAGAACCACACAGAATAAACCCAAATATAATGTGGAAATTAACATTTTGTGTTCTAGATTGGAAACAAGTAATCACTTACAACAGAAGGGCTTGAGCTTTTCGATAAATTCAGTTCACGATTGGGCAGGGATGCTGCTGCTGAGTCAGGTCCATTTATTTCAATAATATCCAAACTCGAAGGTTTAGCAGATATTGTGCTGGAAGTTGCATCTATTCCAACAGATGACGACATGCCACCAGCATCAGCATGCATAAGAGGGTCAGAGGCAAATGCAGGTGGAGGACTTCGGGACTCTGGCCCAGGGAATGAAACCGGATGGTTTCCAAACAAGTTCTTCTCTAAACCAGTCTGCAGAAAGAGTAATCCACTATCAGAGGTGTTGACGAGCCAAGTATGTGGCTATGCTGTACATTCCCTTCAGGCACAACAAAATCAAAGAGAAAAGAAACAAGAAAGCAGAAAAGGATGAAAGGGAAAGAGGAAAGAAGAAAGAATTTAAATTAGGTAACTATGATGTACCGACGTGGACACATGTCTGACATGCTTTTTTTTAAAAAATAAAATAAATAAAATAATGACACAACACATCGTTGACATGTTGATTAAATTTTTTAAAAATCTTTCATTTATATAATATAAATTTAATTTTATACTCGTTATTAATTTTTTTGTTGAAATCTTTCAAATACGAGTATACTGTATATATTTGTTATTTAATAATAAATTTGAATTAAAAATATATAGCCCTGTTTAAGCCCTATTTTTGTAAGAAAATGTATTTTGAAATAGTGATTTTTTGGAGAATGTGTAATTGAAAAATAAGGAAAAGTTCTCAATTTACGTGTAAAATTATTTTATAAGAGAATGTGTGGTTGAAAATGAGTTTTGAAAAAATGAGTTTTTGAAAAAATGGGGGCATTCTAATAGAAAAAAGAAAAAAAATCATAGTAAAATGTCCAAGAAGTGTCGCTATCCGACACGTGTTGGACAGGGACACACCAACCTAATTGAAGTGTTCGTGCAATGCAACCTAACACATATGAGGCTTCCATGGCTAGTCATTGTAACCCGCCTTCTCTACCTTGTTAAGTCCTTCATGCAACTAGTGATACAAAAAATATCATCAGATGAAGACAATTTTTCCAAACTAAAAAGAATACTTCCATCTAAAGTTAAAAGTCGCCCAAGCCATAGTCCAACAACTTGTAAAGGATCATCCCTCACCTATCTTAACATACTTCTCAAACCACTGAATTTTTGCTTGAATGTCAACCTACAATACCATCTCTGAGCGATTATTGATCCCTTGAGTTCATTTGCCTAACTTTCATATTGAAAATCCAATTCATGACATATAAGCTTTGTCAGAGGGAGGGAGGGAGGGAGAATTCCACTCTCTATAGAAACCCTTTTTCTGAAATTCACTTCAATAGAGCACAGCCTATCAGAACTAGAATTCAACCACCTAAGATTGTCATGCATGTAACCATTGCTTTACCTTGCAAGACTTGAAAACATTGAACTATATGAAGAAGGTAGAAACTAGGACATCTGAAAAGTATCCAAGGGCCCACCTGGTTACAAATTTAATATTCAACTGTGGGAGAAGGAAAGGAGAAATAGCTGTGTTTGAGAGACGTAAATAAGATAGAAACTGAGAATAGAAAAATGCCATTTTATTTGTCATAAACTACGCATGATACATTGTTGGTTGTGGAAACATTTTAAAGGAATATAAACAAAAAATGTTGAAAACAATTTTCAGGAATTCAAAAACAATATATAAAACAAGTAGCTAAGGATTATGAAAGTTCTCACTTGCAGTGCATAAAAAATGTACAAGGGAGAGAAGTTTCAGAATATCAGATAATACATTTATCTAGGTATAAGACGATCCTGCTAAATTATCATTTCCAGCAAGCACAACAGCCCAGGACTTCCAAGAAATTCTCACAGGACCTAGTTGAGAAGAACATAGTAGAGATAATCATTCAACCAGATAATAAGAACCTAACCCACCTCGTTTTGAGTCATTGACTGAGAACATGGGGAAGAGGAGTAGGGGGGACTAATTGTCAATGAAAAATGGCCAAATGAACTTATGAACCACATCCATCAATTGGGGGAGGACTCAGATACAGAAAAACATTCCGCAAATGAAACAAACCTAGGCATAAAATTCATCTTGCTCAAATAACTTAAAGGCAGTTCACCTCTGCATATGAAATAAAATCATGAAAGGAAGATAATATAGATAGTCATCGATATAGTTTCAGCATATGAAAAGATAACTGTTGTATATTATTAGCAGAAACTGAGCTCTTACCTGCACAATTGCTTCTTTCAGTTTTGAATGAAGACGTGATCCTGAATCCTTAACACTTTTTGGAGGCCATATCTGTAACCAGCAAAGCATAGCCGGTGACCATTCACACAACAAGGTATAATATGTTAATAATTTCATGATCTTATAGTAAAACAAATCCATTAAGGAATCAGAACTCATAGTTAATGTCAAGATATCCTGAGCCACCATCCAGGAAAAAGTTTTAGCACCATGACACCTCCTTCAAATGTGACCCATAAATATTTGTGGTTATGATTCTCATTTTACCAAAAGACACTATATAATACCCACCGCCTTTTCGCAGTTGGAACTAATAATCAGCAAAGGTCAATTAAATGGGAAAAAAAAAGATGAATTGATAAGTGTAATATAGATATGTAAAATATAGACAACTCTACTTCTTTAAAAAACTTATAGTGCCTTACTCAGATGTCAAACTCAACCTCTCAAAAGTCGTTCAGCAAGAACATATCAACATAAATAACCTCGAATTTTAGTTACAAGCTAGGTCAAGCAAAAGGTATTGGCTGAGAAGCTTTCTTCAGCAAGATTCTTTACTAGCTTCTCATTTCCCTTCTCCCTTCATGATCTCTTTATACTTTTTAGGGTGTAGAGTGTTATGTATGTTTATGTGAGTGGAAAGGAAAAGAAGGTATATTTTGTTGAAATCAATCACAAGTCTTCCCAAAACAATAAAGCTACTCATCTGTAATTTCAGTTGTCGAATTTATTTTATAGAAAAGTCTAGCAAATTCACTTATAACTAGGAATAGAAAGAGACTCACATTAACAGAAATATTATTCACAGAAATGGAGCCTATTCTCAAAGATATGTGTGTCTTCAAATACAACGACTATAGATCTGGATCGTATACCGCAGAGGCATTTCTGCACCTATACCTATCAATCATTCATAGAAACCAACAATCACTTACCTATCAAACCTCATGACACTCCTACCATTCCATAATCAATCATAAAAAACTTCATTTAAAACTCAACATTTAATGATAAGTTATTGCTGCTCTTATTATAGCTAAAATCTTAAGCATGGCCAACCACTTCGATGTACAATAACTTCATTTTAAAGTAAAGAGTTGCCAATTTCACGTTAGTTTGTTTCGATATCAAGCATGTGTGAAATTCGCCATTACTTCTTTTATATTAAGAAATTTAATATCAATCAAATTAAAACAAATACAATCTGCCAGATGTCATTGGCATAGACTAATCCATATTAAGATGTTAAACAAGTGAAGCCAAATAATTTGAAATAATGGAACTTTTTGGAAGTAGAACATACCGAAGTAGAACACTCTGGACACACATATCCAGCAGGAGCAGTATGTGGGGGAAAACTTTTTATATGTGTAACCAGGCAACTCGTATGTATAACGTCTATACAAAGAAATCATGTCAAATTGCAGAATGGTTGACATGAAATCTTTATAAGAATAAATTAAAGATGCACGAACAGGAATACATACGCAAGCAACCCAATCGAGTCGTTTGAGGGTCAGTCCCTTCAAGCACAGCTTGACAATGGCAGCATTTAGGTGGCCAATCATACTCTCCATCAATCACCCATTCTGAGTATGTACGTATCTAAAATGGGAGAATACATATTTACACTTAAAATAGGTGCTCTTTAAGTAGTATAGGTAGTAATTTGTCAAAGATGTGTAGATTATAATTAACCATACCACACATAACTGGTGCTCTGGAAAGCATATACATTCCCCGCAAACGGGGACCTTGTGCACAAAACAATATAGTTTAGTGGCCTGAAACCCAAAACCATGTGGCATTCATTAGCTTTCATCTTATACAGCAAATTAATCATTATTCTAAATACCTAAGTCGTTTACATGATAAAATCCTTTTTGTTGTTCCAGTTTGATAGAGCGCACATAAAATTCGATCAAAGAGAAGGGTATTAAGCCAGACTCACCGTCTACAACAACAATTCCATCCTGCCAAACCTATCTTCATTTTAATATAACTAATAATCTATCAGATCATAAATCATCCACTAAAATGAATCCGCGCTCATGAGCGAAAAGAATCAGCTAACAGTAACGTATATATCATTGTTGAAGACATAAATTAAACCTGAGATTTAATATTTGGAAGCTCGATCTGATCTAAAATTGTCAAATGCATACTGTCGTACGCACTGGAACGAATAATTAAAATTAAGAAATACACAGCGATCCAGAATTTACATATACATACGTCTGTATCACATTTGCACATGGAAATATAATACCTTGCGGCATTTACAGACGACCATCGCATTAACCGGCTGTTGTAACTACGAATTTGAGATCGGAGGTTCGTAGGAGGAAATTCACAATCTTCTAATTTGGGGGAAAATTATTTATAGGGTTTTTCTGATTTGGGAGAAAAATTGGAAAATGCAGTGATAGTGATAAAAATTAATTGCATAAGATTTGTGTTAATGTGTTACTTTCATTTATTTTCCTTTTTAAGTTCGGTTTGGGTAATTCGAAATTTACTCAAGGAGATGGAATTGTCTGCAGAACGACCACTGCGGGAGGCTGTTCCCACTTTGGGAAAGTAGAATGGACACAAATGGCACTAAAAAGGGACATTGCAGTTTATTGATGGGGGTTTAGAGGTAGCTATTATTTTTTTTCAAATTTAATTTCAATTCGCAATTTAAATTTTTTACTTACTTTTTAATTACATAAAACTGTGAGACATAAAATTTTGAGACTAATAACCAATTATCATAGAATTTAATTTAGTGACCATGATGTTTGGTGAGAATTAAAATTAGATTTTTAATAGATTGTGATAGAAATTTTTGAAATGTGTGGTTGAAAAGTTGTGAAACCCATGAAAGATGTGGTTAATATTGATTGTTTGACTTTAATTTAGATTAAAATCTGATTTTAATCAAAAACAAACGGGCCCATAATTCGCCAAAATTTAAATTTTGGGATCTCATACAGTATGTCAACTTTTGGGTGAAATGATGATGGCATGGACGATGACTTTTCCCATGTTACTGCCATGGACGAATGTCTGCAAGATGAACGAGGGAGGCGTGCATTAGGCAAAGACAGAAGAAGCAAGGTGTCATGTTGACATTGAAAGAATGTGCACGTGATACGTGAATTTTACGAGGCATGCGATGCTGGAATATTTGATGGCAGCATTGCACGAGCGAAATTAGTAGACATCGAGGATGCAAGGCAACAAATAGGCACTAGCGGAAGCTAGCCGAAGTTTGTGTCATGAACTAGAGTGGTGAGTTGGTTTCTCACATGTTGATTGAGTACAGGGGCGGACCTACATGAGACCCAGTGGGGGTCACCACCTCCACTCAAATTTCAGATTTCCCGATCTTTCTTCAAATTTTTTTTAGTATTATTTTTAAGGTATTTTTAGATTTTTAGATTTTTTTTTCCAAGATTTTTTGATTTCGCTCTTACTGAACTTTCTTCCTGGATCCACCCTTGATTGAGCATGGGGAAATAATTGTACAATAGTTATGTGCAAAATTTTTGGTGTAATTTTTGGATGTTTAAATGTAATTCTACAAAGATTGTGAGCAAGTGTTAGAGGCACACATTTAAATGCTACTAAATTTTGTGCCTTAGAGGGGGAATTGGTGAGTAAGACGTAAAACCTTGATATCATCACAGATTAAGTCCCTGTTTGACACCCATTTTGTTTGAAAATAATTTTTGAATAGTGAATGATGGAAGATTGTATGGTTAAAAAGTAGGGAGAACTTTTGGGTTTATGTGTAATATTATTTTATTGATAGAATGTGTGGTTGAAATGAAGAAAGGAAAAAAAATGAGAAAAAAAATGGATGTCAAAAAAGGCATAATCTCCAACTAATATAGGGGCTTCATAGTTGATAACCGT